TACGCCGCGTTCCAGGCAACTCGGAACTGGGAAATTTCCGACCTCCAACTACAAAAACTATCCTGGAAGTCGGTGAAAAAATATGCACCCCGAGTTCACAAGTAGCAGCTGACTTACGTCACAAAACAATGTCAGCGCCCAAGGAATAAACTAAACAGCAACAACAAGTATATTTGCATGTATTTAAATTAAAATAATACATACGGTCATGTAGTAAAAGCTGTTCTGCGTGTACACCGATGTAGAAATATGTTGGGCCTATTAGGTAGCTGGCTACAGTAAAGACTCTTCTTCTCTGCATAAAAGTTATTGTTCAAAATGCCAAAACACGAGGACGTGTGACCTGCAACACTGACCACCACCATCACCAACTGATGTAGCTGGAGGGGCCAGTACAGGCTGTTTATGTCAGTAACACCTGAAGCACTGCTGAGGTGCCACTGTGTGCACACTTTGTCACGCTCAGCCATGGTTTTCGTTCACTTTCGGCGTCGTGCGCCTGGAAAGCTGGGAAATATCGCAGTTCCAACCGGTCTCGAACGCAGCATCAGACCCGCGGGATTCTCCTTCACATCTTTCCTTGACCTCGTGACGTTTTCCATCGAGGTCGAGGAAAGGAGGTGAGGAAAGGAGGTGAGGAAAGGAGATTCTTCTGACTTTCCGGACGCAGCCCTGATCTCACTCCAAACTTTTGCTAAAACTTGAGGTTAACATGATAAAAAAAATGTACAGCGTTATCAATTATACACTCTGTAACTGAACTAAGAGCAACACATTTATGAATGTTTTAATAAGAAACTGATTATTAAACTATGTAGTCAAACTATTTATCAAAAAGAATCATTCAGAAACAAACACAAACAAACAGCAGTTAGCGCCGTTAGCTTCCCGGCTAACGTTAGCCAGCTAACAGCAGTCTACACTGCCCTTGAGTGCTAACAGTGCTAACAGTGCTAACAGTGCTAACAGAGCTAACAGAGCTAACAGAGCTAACAGTGCTAACAGAGCTAACAGAGCTAACTCCGGGCAGCGGAGGTCCGTCTGTCTGTCAGCCGGAACAGGCTGCCTCCCTCCCGCTGTGGTTACTGACCTGCCTCCCCTCACGGAGCTCCGTAAAACATCTTCTCCGGTCAGTCTGAGCAGGACGGCGCAGCTCCTCCACGCCATGGTGGAGCCCGGTGACCCCGGCAGGTCGTTCACTACCGGGTCAACACCCCGGAGCGACCGGAGCTGAACGGAGGAATAACGGGGACACCTGCAGGACAGAGGCGGACACTGCACACCTGGGACAACAACAACAATGCACCGCGTAAAGCACGCGTCAACAACACGGACCATAACTTCCGTCCACGACTTTCAAAGTAAAATACTGTCAAAAAATCAACGATTTTACCTTCAAATGACAAATTCTAACTTTTTTTTTTTTTTTTAAAGTATAAAAACTAAATGTAAAGAACAATGAGGGGTATAGTCATAGGTGTCATTTACACTGGGGACGCTGGGGACATGTCCCCAACTGCTGATTTTGTCCCCACCCCTTTTTGAAAGCATTTCTTTAAAATGATCTGAAAAATAGCACCAAGAAATGTTAACTAACAAATGAAAATGCTTTGAGAAAAGGTTTATTTGCACAAAGAGAAAACATGCAATGAAATATAGTTTTACCTGATATAAAAACAGACATTTCCGTCGTAAATTGGAGCAGTAAATGTAAAAATGAAAGTTCGACTTTAATGCTCAAGATCTGCCGGCGGAGGCCCCCAGGCCACGTATATTTCTGCATCAAATATTTAATCTAAATAGTGCTAAAAATCTTCTTGTCTGTTCATTCCATTTTTATGTAATTTTAAAGCTACATGTTTGTGTTTATGTACTAAATTGTCATTGCAGAATCCTTGTAGGTGTATGATACTTGGCAATAAAGCTTTTCTGATTCCGATTCAAGGCCTTATAATGTCCCTAAAGATTTCAGTGTCAAAGCATTTTTTAAATAAGTTTCACTTAGATGCTGGTAAATAAAATACCTTTTCTTAATTATTTCCTTTTGTTGTTTCTTATGACATATTTACTTGTAATGTATTATTAATTGTGGGTAGCATTACATATTAGCTACATTCATTCATATTCTATGCTGTGTTCTGTCCCTAAAAAACATAAATTATATAATATATAACATAATTATAAATTGATATTATTTTTAGTATCATGTAGTATTGTTTTTTAATATTTGTTTAACTTGGTATCCAGTCATTCTGACGCACTCATACACTTATTATAATTTATACAGGTTTTTTCTTTTCATTGAAATGGTTAAATAAAGTTATTAGACACGGGTGAAATTAAGATGCATGTCTGTACATAAGCAACAAAAAATAATACGTGTTTCTATAACTACCTTTTTCTTATTATTTCCTAATTTATTCCATTGTTTAATATTGAGGTTTAGTATTTTACTCACAGATATTACTGCACAACAATTTATTTGTTATTCCAGTTTCATTGTATATGACAAATGTCTTTATTTTTATTATTGTACTTTAATTATTAATTATTTTAAATTGTTGGGTAGATTATTATGTAAATTTTATTCTTTGTTACAACAAATGCAAGGAGTTTACATTATTTTTACATTTCAATAATTATTATTTTTTTATCATATCCTACATTTATTACATTATTCCACAGTTAGAAGTTGCTTTTATTGTACCAGAGTAAATTTATAATTATTATTTCTATTAGTATATTTTATAATGTATTATAAAATATATATATTTTATAATTCGCAAACTTTTTATTATTTATATTTATTTAATGCTTTGATTAGCAACGTGAGCAACTGTAACAAAACAATTTCTCCTCAGGATCAAGAAAGTGTTTCTGCTTCTGAAACTGTGATATATAACCAACACATTTATTTTGAAGGCGGCGAGCAGCGGAAGTAGCGCTGTTGTTTCCGGCGCTCGGCTCGGCTCGGCTCGGCTCGGAGGAGACGAGCAGCAGTAGTAAACCTGTGTGTGAGCGCGGAGGAAAGATGGCGGCCCCTGCTCTCTCCAGTCGGGCTGGCTCGGCGGGCAGCCTCGGGAACAGCCCCACCATGGCCGCCGGCAGGCTGCCGCACGGCGGCGGGCCCGAGCTCGACTTCAGGTCTGCGGCCCGCATGGAGGACCTGAACGGCTCATCCAGGAGTTCAGCAAGCACGACCAGCGGGAGTACGACGACCAGCGGGCTCTGGAGATCCACACGGCCAAGGACTTCATCTTCTCCATGCTGGGTGAGGACACAAACACCGGGCTGGTATTTCACGGGCGGTGACGGTAAACGGTGCCCCCCCCCCCCCCCCGTTAAAAGGGAGCTGCTGGAGGAGGATGCCCCCCCCCCCCCCTGCGCTCCACCTGCTCTGAATCACAACACCTGCGTGATGCAGAAGGTGAAAACGCAGCGGGACGCCGCAGCGGTGCGGTTCTCACCTGTGACCCGCTCAGGTGCTGCTGGGAGCGTCACGGTGATGCGTTCAGGGGTTTAGCTCCTGTGTTTGGGGGACGACGCTGAAGTTCGCTTCGGCAGCTAAAGGGAAAGTTAAAGGGAACTCAGGTCCAGATCCGAAGCCTGGAGCTGTCAGACCTGGACTAGATTATTCCAGAGAGGCTTAAGGTTTCTGTAAAAGGGTCATTCCACCGAATGGGTGCCATTTCATTACATAAAATGTATAAATATGCATACAAATTAACTTTAAAATACTTTTTGTTATTAAGCAAAGTGCCCTGCACATTAAAATAATTGCAAATGCGAGATAAATCTCTTTAAACATTAATAAAAATGATCTAGAACACTGAAAAATAGCATTTGTTTCCTGTCCCCAGTCCCTGAAACTACACTCTACAATGTAATATCATAATTAAAAAACATGAGAAATTAGTTTTTTTTTTGCATTATGAGCGACTCCATATCCCATCTATGCTCTAAACATTTTTTCTTCAGAAAATGTTTGTAATATTTGAGTTAAAATGCACGTTTTAGTCCTGTTACCCTAATACACCCCCCCCCCCCCTCTTAAAAAAGTCCCATGTTTAGAGAAAGTTGCATCATCTGCGTCTTCTGAAGGTCGTGAGAAGACCAAAAGTAAGTTCTTTAATTTTCTTTTCCTTATATTTAATGATATTGTAACTATGACGGAGCAGGTCAGTTACAATATTCATTCCTGTTACCTAATTTATTTCTTAGACTTAATTGTTTATTTTAAAAATAGAGAAGAATCACTAGAAAGTGCTCAGTGTCCTCGTGCTGTTACCGTGTCTTCACCTCCTTTAGTGGTGTGTCCGGAGGGGAACTTTCAGATTTTTCATGGGCTCTATTCTAAATCCAGAGTGAAGATACTAGTATCATATGAAACTAGGTGACCTAATGCATCCATTGCTACCGTGCATTTCTTTGCATTTGGTATAAAAGGGTTTTGAATATTTCTGCATACTGTAACCCTGTGCTCATTCCTGTTAC